TTGCGAATTCGCCAAAAAATTAAGTTACGAACGATAAAAACACAAGAAAAGACTAAAACAAATGTGTGCAAGAAGGACAAAACAGGATACCGCCAACTGAGGTGTTGTCGGAAGCTTTGGTACGTTTTCGGTTCGAGTTGTCTCGCTTCGAGTATGTTCTTAATCGCTATTCCGAGAAAAACATGTAGTCGGACGTTCGTAATCCGACCCCTCATGTAAAGGATCAAGATGAACTTGATTCCGACTGCCCAGAAAAGGGTAACCTGTAAATGACTTAAAGAGGTCTATGACTAGTGGATCCAGGAGGCTGTATGATGCTAGTAATGCTACTAACGTGCTAGGTAATTGGCCGTAGAAACTTTCCTGATATGGTTCGTCAAATTATCAGTCTTACTATAATTTAGATGATTTGCTGCTGTTAAGAAAAAAAGCAATGTAACTTGTTTTAGAAATATTAAGTGACAAAGTAAATATTCGAATATAGGTCACAGGTCACAGATATAGAACAAGGTTCGAATATCAAGAAATTAGGGTTGAAAAAAGATGAAAGCAATAGAACAGATAAATAACATAGCGGAAAGCTAACTAAAACTTGCAGCAATAAAAGATTATAAAGGTGTGAAAGGGCCAACATAGGCGCAGAACCAGATTCATTGCCTGAATTTAAAGAAAAAATGCCACTTGGGATGGTGGGGTTATTTGAGGTTTCTTATAGTAACAAAACGGAGTGAAACAGATTGTAAATGAATCAGATATAAAAATTAGTTCTACGGCATTTTTTGCATTTAGACATATAGACATATACCGGGCCTCGATAATGTACCTTGTATGAAAAAAAGTACATCTATAAGAAAAATTCGTATGAAAAATCTACCTAGTGATGCATAGAAAAATAAGTATGTCTTTTGAAAACATATTTTTTCTTATTTTGGTATTCACTGACTGTCCCCCTTTCAATGTTTTTATCAGAACAACAAAAACGATTTGTAAGATTGGCACTTATTACTAACTAGGGTGTCTTATCTACTGATGCCACCCCACTGACTAAACATTGTTCCGCTTTTTGGGTGTACATCGATGATTCATCGCGATATGTTTTGCTTTATCATTAGCTGACTAATATTATGTAGTTCCCTTACCTAGATAGATAGTGATGAAGCCTATCCTGATATGTATGCAGGTGCTCTTTAAACTCGAGTTATTTCAAAATTGCGGAACATAAAAATACTAAGATACAAAAAATGTGTCATATTATGACTAAGCTAGGTATGTTTATGTGAGTGACTCCATCACATTGACTTGATTTTGTTACAATTTTGCATCTCACATCATTGCAACTGTCGAATGAAGTAAATTTTGAAGATTTAAAAATGTACCAATTAATTTCAATATTATCAAGACAAAAATATTGAACTATTAAACCGCTACTTGAATTTCATGAATAACGAATATTGTTGCATATTGTGTTTCAGTCCTTTCGCAGTACGATATGTTTCTTGTTTTCATGCGGCCAGCAGCCGTCTTCCCGGAATTTCATGCGTCGTAAATCGACCAATCACAGAATAGGTAAAGAACCCTTCTTGCTTGTCTCAATTCGTCGCATGCATGTGTGTGTGTGAGAGCCTAAAATGCTGTTATTTACTTTCACTTTTAGAATAAAATTGGTCATCGCCGCATTAGGTACTAATCAATATGTGAAGTTTGTAATAAACATGAAATATACCCTTTTATTGAACATACCGTAAAATGGGGTTATTTTGCGCCATAAGGGGATAAATTACGCCACTTGAGAAAAAAGTTCATAAATATTTTCCAGAGAGATTCAATGTAGTGAACCAACCAAACGCTTGGGTGTATTCATGGTTGTATATGCCTCCATAGATTACCCCTTGAGTTGGAGCGTTCAAGAACTCCTAAGGGGTTTTGACGCGAAAGTAAACATTAATGGTGGAAACGGTGTAAAATACCCTCTGCAAAAATCTAGGTATATCGTGTACATCTATTGATATAGAACAGGTAAATAATTTTTTATTATATCTTTGATGTATTATTTGGATACTACCACCAATATTTTCTTTTCATAACAATCTACAAACATTTAAAAAAAAAAAATTCTTTGAAGTGTCAAAATGTAGAAAATATGGGGATACTTTGCACCACGCGATAACTTGCGCAAAGTATCCTTCGCATTTGTTCAAATTTGTATTGCCTTGTTTTTCCAATTGTGGCGCCAAGTTTTTCGTTCCAATGCAATTTTTTTTAGAGATGCCCAGAACACACAAAAGAAGACTTGGAGCGAGAAGATACAGTGCTTATAGTAAAGAATCACTTGAAGCATGTTTGGAAGAAGTCAGAACTGGACATCTTTCACATAGGAAAGCAGAGGCGAAATACAATATTCCGAGGAGAACAATTTATAATAAATTGAAAGGAAAACACCCCAAGCCGATTGGAAAACAACCTGATGCTTGATGCCGACGAAGAAAACCAATTTGAGAATGATGAATGATCTCCATGGGAGAATTTGGCTTTCCCGTAAATACAGAGAACTTTGACACATCATGAAAAATTAACTCGAACAAGCTGGAAGACAAGTTAAATTGTGGACCAAATGACTTACTCCATAGATCCACCTGTCAAGGTCTCTAAGAGAGAATTTTTCAATGTTGCTGAGTTGAAATCATGGTGGTCTTAGACTTATCATTTGGTGTTGTATTTAAACCAAATATTACCCACTATTTTTACAGAATAACTGCTGTTTTTTCAATTAGAAATAAGAAAATAATTTATTTTCTTGTATCTTCCTGAATTTCTCTCAATTTTGACCAATAAACGTGAAAAAAAAACAAAAAACAAAATGCTGTTTTATATGATAAAATGGAGTCATACAATCTTACCAATGCTATAACTTTGCTCCACAAATCAATATAGCGTTGGTTACAGTTAGTTAAATTTGGTCGAGCAAAGTTGCCCCTCCAAATGGTATAGTTTGCGCCACTTTTAATTTAAAAAAATAAAATACCTAGAATGATTTTTTCTATTTTTTTTTTTCAAAAACTTGTTTTCCGAACTTGTTTTTATCATCTTACTCATTTTTGAAATTTTATCTATTTTCTTCCAATTTTTTCCATGGCATTTTATTTATTTGATGTTAAAAGTGGAGCAAAGTACGGTAATACAATAAAAACAAGATGTTTCAATTGTGAATTGGTAGGTCTCTGTGAAACAGAGTAGTCCTTTGGAGAACAGAACCAAGTAAAACTAAAAGCAATCGAGGCGTACAAGACACTATCGGCGACCAGCGACTTAGCTACTAGGTATTTCATTATAGCATTCATAGCGAACAGATATGATCATCATATTATAGGCAATCACTCGAAACCGAGTATGATTAACTTATATGCTTTTCTTCGTCGATTGTGCGTTTTCTGATGGCTATATAAACCAATTCTCAATTCCAATATGATATCTACATTGCTAAATACGTTCGGAGATATTCAATACACTTCATTTAAAACAATAATACCAAAATCACGGCGGAACCAGAACACTTGGAATCGCTCAAACTAATCTTAACCTTTCACGAAACCATATGACCTAACTGATCAACTTCTAATTCACAGCTCATTGAATTTACAAATGACAGTCCTCCAAAAAATCTTCTGGTTCAGTAATTCAATGGGTTCAATGCACAACTAACTAACTTCATAATAGTTTTACCTACTGTTGTCTCATTTATAACTCGTTCAATTTACGACTAACTGCGGTAAGGTCGCGAGCTTCTTCTTCCAATCCTTCCGTAATTTTCTAGACAATTATCTTCCAAGAATTTCCGATAAATGTCAATTCCCTAGATTATTTCATCAACGTTAAATTGGATATATTCGAATATTTAAATGCAGCCTAGATTCACAATGTTTTCGGAAAGTTCGTCCATTCCCATTTGTGATATTCTTGTGGATTCGCCTAATTTAGTGTCAATAATGCGTTGAAATGCGTCTTTGCTGTTGTTTAGCACTCCCACGGTTGGGTGTTTTTGTTGTGCTGCTTGTTATATCGTATGTATACAGGGTGTAAAAAAAATTGTTTACCAGACTTCGAGGGGTGATACTACATATGAGAAATTTAAAAAAAGTTTCTATGTATATAATATGCCCTAAGATGCTTCCTGAAAAAGTGACAGCCCTTCAAACGGTAGATGAAATTTCGATGCCAAAGCGAATGGTGATAGTAAAAAAAGCCGCCACAGATCTGAAAGGGTAATTTCCATAAGGGTAGAGAATAGTTACTCACAAAACGAAAAAGCATTTTAGGGCATATTATGTTCATAGGAACTTTTTTTTTCAATGTAGTACCTATCACCCCTTGAAGTCCGGAACACACTTTTTTTTACACCCAGTATACAAGTGTGGTAAAATGGAGCCGCTCAGCTTTGGCTTTTTCAAATTGAAGTAACTATTATACTAAATGTAAACAAAAATTAATAACAGCTAATAGTTAGTATAGCTAATGCTATGTACAAAAGGCTGTCCAAAGCTTTTATACGCTCTGGGAACCAGACATGGTACTTGCTATAAGACCTAAAGCTGGACCAAGCACTTGAAGTAATAATGTGAGAAGGGCTCGGATATGGAATGTAGTGTAAGAGGAATGATTCGGTCGACACTGATTTATTAACGTTTTTAATATATTTAATTTTATATATTTGTATAATTAAAATCTGCTGACTAAGTAAGCAGATGGTAATATCGTCATAACATTTGAATTTTGTTGACCCGATTTGTATTTATTTACAGGGTGTTGTTTTTGTAACGGGGTGTTTATTTCACAAATATGATACATGAATAGCCATTGGTTAAACATTCTAGCGTCTCTCACGTCTGTTTGTCTGATTTAATAGCTCTTTGGTTAGACAAAGGTTTTTTGCCTTATGAATTGTTTATTTAAGTCTATTAGATTTAATAAAATATAATCATAAGTAATATTACTTTTTGTTACAGAGCAAGCAAGAATAAATGGTTCTCGAGTGTTGGTACATTGCCAAGCAGGTATATCAAGAAGTGCGACCATCGCAATTGCCTACATAATGAAGTATAAGCATATGTCAATGTGGGAAGCCTACAGAAAGGTTAAAGAAATCCGACCCATCATTTCACCGAACCTCAACTTCATGGGTCAACTATTGGAATTAGAACAGAGTCTGCGAAGCGATAACAGTAGCAACAATAATGTTCAATGCAGATGGAGCCAACCACCACCAGACGAAGTCACGCAGAGTTGTAGTGTCTAAGTTTTGTATACATATTATTTTAAGACTGTTGACATTATTGACAAAACGTTGAATAGTCTCCCATGTTCCCATGTCGCCATATAGTTTCATTCTAGTCGTTTCAATTGGATTAAAAGCAAAGAATTTGTATTGGCTATGTGAATAAATACTAAATGGTCACTACCACATAAATGCATAGAAAAGTCATGGCAGCAATATAATTGTTATCCTGTGATTGGTAAAATCTTTAAACGTAATTAAATATTGTCCTAAATTTCAAAGCGTGTCTGTGTTGCTATCTTTGTTGTACAATTATCAAACAACTGGTGTGTTTATTACCTAAAAGAAAACCACAAATTATTTTCAAAATAGACCATACAAATGATGTGAATTTGGATCTATCCTGAAGTCCGATTACAGGAAAAGGTCAAAGAAAGTTCTGGCGGACATTTTGATGTTTGCAGCTAGCTTTTTGTTTTTTTTTTTTTTCAGAATTCAAATATACGATTAGTATAAAGAATCGTTTACCTAACAAAAAAATCAGAAGTGTACCCTCTGTATTTTATTTTAAAAGTTAAACTTGATAATGAATTATCTAGAATGTTCAGTGAGCGATCCTCTTTTTTTCAATTTTCACCTTTTTGAAACAATGCTCGCTAAAAATGTTAAAATGTCTCAGGAACATTAAAATGTGTGCCGGTACTTTTTTACCCATTCCCTCCGCGGTTTCTTCGTCTTATGTTATTTGTACAGTTGCCTTTCGTTTAAAAGGGAAGACAACAAAAACAAATGAGTTCCAATTTGACCATCCTAGTGGGATTTTAAGTCACAACACCGATTTGAATGAGCTAAAAAAAATTTTTAATAATTATTACTTTTATTCAGCATAGACTCATATAAATTCTTTGGATAAAAGGCTGTGTACCATTAAAAATATTTCATCTTTATGTAATTATTTGTCTTTTTCGTGTTGAAATTCGCATTATTCTTTTTTTTTTCAACCGTGCCATCTTCAAATTCAATGGTACCATTTTGACTTCTTTTGACTGATAAACTTCTTGGAATTACATTATTGTAAATTGAAATTAATGCTGTGCATTAAATTATTATATCCATTTATTAATGATAAATTTAAGAAGTTTGCAGCAAGTTGCAGCAAAATAGGTTGAACTTTTCCTCTTATTTTTGAAGCACAAAATTAATGAAATTTGCCCAATAATTGAAATATTCAATAAAAGCCAAACAAGATAACGTAAAAGATGAGCACAAGTGGAATTTGTAGTCTTTTCCCAAGGGATTGTTTAAAGTTTCAAAATGGTTTCTCGTTTATCAACGATAAGTGGGTATATAAATACATATTTATTATTAATTGTTTCAACTAGTCACTTGGATTGGTATACGTATCTACTTTCGACTCTGTTGTTCACTCGGAAATAATTTTAGTTTTCCCATTTTTGTAACCTACAAAACTCATCTCATTTCCTATTCACAATTTTTTTTCTGTGTTTTATTCGAAATAGGGTTGCTATAAAATTTTGATTGCAACCTAACTTTCAGCAAATTGGAAACATGAGGGTACAAATCCATTCTATTTTTTCTGTATGATTCAAATGATTCTGCATCTTCTACCTGAGTTTTAAGTTAATGTCTTCAAAAAATGAGTAGATGGGATTGAATTTTCTGAAGAGTGAGGTGGTCCATGTCTCCTATACCAATGGAGATAAAAAAAAAGTCAATACGAAACTTGTACATAAACTTGAGTATGTTTTTTTAAATTACCCCTGTATATCTGTATATTTTCACATTTTCGAATTTCTCTTCAATTTCAAGTAACTTCTCTCAATAACTTCCTCTTGCGTTATCGAGAAAAAAGTGAATTTCCAAAATTTTAAGCCAAAAGATTAGGTCCTAAGTTGCGATTTTTCGCTTTGTACAAAATATCAATGATTTGAAGTTTGAGTCATAGCTCAACAGAGCTTAGAGGAACTACAATATGTTTCCTAATCTCCGTGATATTATACAGGGTGTACAATAAGGCTTCTGGAATTTAAATATTTAAAGTGTGCAAAATAAAATCAGAGAAAAAGTTTTCCTAATTTGACAGATCGTCATTAGAATTATGTGCCCAGTCTTTGAGGTTGCAGACTATTAAAAGCCAAAACCAGAATGCTGATTTAATGTAAAATAAGCCGCAGCGATTTTTGGTGAATTATTACTGTAAAATGTTTTTTATTCTTATTATCATTACATAATGTTTTTTCTTTTAGATTCTAGGTGTAAATTTATTTATTTATTGGTATATTGATTTAGCTTTACATGTAGATTTATTTGCTGCAAATAGTTTATTCCTAAAAGGTTTCTGATTAGGTTTATTTATATTATCATATTAGTGTAAGGGTCTAGTTATGGGGTCTATGGCTCGCTATTTCACATGCGAACGTGTCAAAACTCTCTCTTGCTGTGTTGTTTTGTGAAATTTCACCAACAAGCTATGGTTCACCCGAGACAAATTCTGAGAGTCACCAAACAAGAAGCACCACCACCCATGTCACATGGTCTGTGATCTGTGCCTCAGTAGATCGGTTGTGGCGAACCAAGGACCGTGTAACCGTGCCTTAATAGTTGCATCAAAATGTACGATAACATGCAGCAAATATAATAATTATTTTATTTATAAATATAAACGAGCCATATTTAATTTATTATATTATCGGATGTATTATAGTAAGTGGTTAGGTTAGGTATTTTGCAGCAATTCAAAACGGTTTGTTTTATGTCAAGTTACATCAGGGTTTGATTTATTTTATTGTGATTTTTTAAGATAGATTTAAGAGAAGAATGAGAGCAGGTACTAGAGAAGGTGCACCATTATGTGTTTTTACGACTTAATTTATATAATGTCATGATACTAGCTCCCAACTGATAAATTGCAGAGAGGATCCTACACTGTTAGCGAAATATGCAAATTTTGCCTGAAGTAGAGCAGTTTTGGTTTCTTCCTAACTATGAAAACGACTTGTTAAATTTGAGTAAAAGTCGCTATAGCTGCTATCAGTATGAATTGCTGCTAAAAATGTCTTTCTCTTTGTATAAAAGCATTAAGGTGAATGAAATGGTTTTAAATATAGATATTGTATTCGTATTGATAGATTTGCAAGGCAAGGTTTCTATTCGCAATTATCAAGTATGTGCCTTCGCAAAGTTTACTTAGAGTCCTAAGAGACGTTGTATAGTAGAGTTCAGACTGTGAAACTTTAAGCTATTTGTAAAACACCGAACTTATGTAGTTAATCTCAATAAAATCTGGAAAGCTATTCTGTGTACTCATTATTTTGAAACCCTAACAAGAAATTATTGTGTATTAGAGGGTTTTTTTTTTGGAAGAAATCATTATTCCATCCGAGGCCTTATTCTTGACTTTCTCTCGAGAGAAAATTTGACTGTGTTGACAATTAAACAGTGTTACAACTGTTAGCAATGTCAAATTTTCTACCTAGGTAAAGTCAAGAATAATGCCTCGTGAACCTAGTAAGTGGAAAAGAAATAAAGTCATTTTTGGGACTGTTGTATTATTATAGGTAATGAAAAATATCGGTTTCTGAACATTTAACCTAAACAATTATTTCTCTATAGAGAAAATAATCAAACAATGACAGGTAAGGGTAGCTCGGGACTCTGTGGAGCGCCACAGAAGCGTGCCACACTTAATTATAACGTTCCAGTGTCATGGAGTAAGACGTCCGTCTTATCTCCCACCTGCTCCCTGAAGCACCATCGTTTTTTCGGAACACCAAACTCCAAGCACCACAGATGGCAAAGTGCCAAATAGGTCAAAATTTAAAAATAACTTCTTTCTTTTCTCAATTAGGTATTAAAATTTGTTGCTAGTGTATGTGGATTGTGGAGGGGGTGCTTGTTTAACGATGTAAAAATGGAATGGATCAAAATTATATTTTGGAAGTGTTCGATGCCCAGCTGAAGATAACTTATACAGTGTGTCCACTTAAGTTCGCAGCATATGGGAAACTTTTTTATTATCAATTTTACGAAAAAAAGTTATTCTTTATAAAAGTTTCTGCTTCTAGAAAAAATAATATTAAACTACTAAAACTTGAAATAGCATGTACAGGGTGGTCAAAAAATAGAAAAATATACAGGGTGTTTCCTGAGTACGGTTCGTTACTTCAGGATGTGATTTCTTACAATATTTTAAGAAAAAAAGTTCCCATAAACATGTGTCCGGAAGTGCATAGTTTCTGAGATACAGGGTGTCAAAGTTTTAGAAAAAATCGTTTTTTTAGCTCAAAAATCCATTTTCCAATTTTTTTTTTCAAATTTGGCAGGTGTGTTTGTGATAGCGAAAGGTATCTTTTGACTTTAACATGACTTGCTGAATCTGAAAAAAATATCAAAGGTTTTAAAAAATAGTGACGTGCCATTTTTTTTCTAGTTTCACCGTTTTTTATCAAAAAATTCTGTATATTTTCCTATTTTTTGACCACCCTGTACATGCTATTCCAAGTTTTAGTAGTTTAATATTATTTTTTCGAGAAGCAGAAACTTTTATAAGGAATAACTTTTTTTCGTAAAATTAATAATAAAAAAGTTTTCCATATGCTGCGAACTTAAGTGGACACACTGTATAATCTTTTTTCAAACGAGGACGAATATCTTCGAGTAAAAAGGTGGTTAGTAGCTTGTATGAAATAAATTATTGTTACGGTCAGTGAATTGCCTCGAGAGTTCGATAGCCCGGCCGGATTCTAGGAAATTCGTTGTTTACGTCTGGGAGTACCTCTTTTCAAACAAGTTCTTCTAGATTAATCCGCAGCACGATTTCGACTATAAATAGTAGTAACTGACTCAATACTTACAACTAGAAGTATTGGGATTTCAAGATAAGCGGTACTCTATCTGGCGGCAAATTACAGAACTAGTTTGTAGTACATTGTCATATATGTTTTTCTATTGTTTATCATTGTATTTGTATAAATATTTTTGAGGTGTTTTTGAGTTTTTAAATCGTGTTGATGAATAATTATTAAGTTTAAATTATATCAAATATATTCAATTATGACCTCCAATCACTACTGTTGTGTTCCTCAGTGCAAATCTTAGGCTAAAAAAGATGCTGACAAAGGGTTGAGTTTCCACATATTTCCCCCTGAAACAGGCCCACAGGTTTATTTGGAAACGAAGATGGGAAAAGAGTAGTGTCGAGAAGAAAAGCCTGGATTTTGAAACTTCGTATTGGCAAACCAGTCGCCAAATTCATGAAAGTGTATTTCTCTGCATTTCAAGCAAGAAGTTTGTGTTAAGGTAAACAAGCATAATGGATATTTTTGTGCCCTAGCTTCCTTTTAGGCCTGCTCTCAGGCATTGATTAAGTACAGTGGGAATCATTGCAATTGGCACACACTATATAAATATCCCTCGTAATGTGTCAAATCTGACACACCAGTAACAGCAAAATGCTGCACAAATAGATTTATTGGTTAGAATTTTGACTCGATTTTAAAGAGTGTGTGCCAATTGCAATCATTCCCACTGTACCTATTATCTATTTTTGAAATATTTTGTTTGAAAAAATTATTATTTACAGGTGAGAGTACAGGTAGAGGTTGGATATTGAAAAAAAAAACAGCTGTACCATCCCAGAATTTGCCCTCTTCTACAGTGATCCATCAACCCAGTCAAAAAACCGATTCCATGTGTGCTGAAAGACTTGCCAAAAGAAAAAGAAATCAAGATTCTAGTGAGAGCGATACAAGTAATGAATGTAGTGATACTTGTAATCAATTATTAACGTGTGTGAAGTTAGCCTCGAATTCTAGCCACGAATTAGGAAAGTATGCCATCCGCACCAAAACAATTTATACATTTTTTAATTAAACCGTACTGCAAATATGGTTTCTTAGGGAATGCAGAACATGCTTATTTTATCATTATTATAAATAATGATATACCTAATTAATATAAAAAAAATGTGTAAAGTCTAAATTATAAAATTTCTCGTGAAGGGTTCTACATTTTTTTCTTCAGATTTTGGAAGGAGTACCTTTGGTTTTTAAATCAGTAGGGGATGAGGGGTTGAAAAACTCAGAAAACTCAATAAAAATAGGTTTTTTATTTTTTTTCTCGAGATTTTGGATGGGGTACCACTACCATCTTCTGGCAGCGACTTACGAAAGTGTTCTAGAATACTCCCTCAAATTGGTTTTTAAATCGGTAGGGGAGGAGGGGTTGAAAAACTCAGAAAACTCAATAAAAATAGGGTTTTTATTTTTTTTTCCGGAGATTTTGAATGGGGTACCACTACCACCTTTTGGCAGCAACTTACGGAAGTGTTCTAGAATACTCCTTCAAATTAATTTTTAAATCGGTAGGGGATGAGGGGTTGAAAAACTCAGAAAACTCAATAAAAATAAGGTTTTTATTTTTTTTCTCGAGATTTTGGATGAGGTACCACTACCATCTTTTGGTAGCGACTTACGGAAGTTTTCTAGAATACTCCCTCAAATTGGTTTTTAAATCGGTAGGGGAGGAGGGGTTGAAAAACTCAGAAAACTCAATAAAAATAAGGTTTTTATTTTTTTTCTCGAGATTTTGGATGGCGTACCACTACCATCTTGTGGCATCAACTTACGGAAGTGTTCTAGAATACTCCCCCAAATTGGTTTTTACATCGGTAGGGGATGAGGGGTTGGAAAAATCAGAAAACTTAATAAAAATAGGGCTTTTATTTTTTTCCCGAGATTTTGGATGGGGTACCACTACCATCTTCTGGCAGCGACTTACGGAAGTGTTCTAGAATACTCCCTCAAATTGGTTTTTAAATCGGTAGGGGATGAGGGGTTGAAAAACTCAGAAAACTCAATAAATATAGGGTTTTTATTTTTTTTCTCGAGATTTTGGATGGGGTACCACTACCATCTTTTGGCAGCGACTTACGAAAGTGTTCTAGAATACTCCCTCAAATTGGTTTTTAAATCGGTAGGGGATGAGGGGTTGAAAAACTCAGAAAACTCAATAAAAATAGGGATTTTATTTTTTTTCTCGAGATTTTGGATGGGGTACCACTACCATCTTTTGGCAGCGACTTACGAAAGTGTTTTAGAATACTCCCTCAAATTGCTTTTTAAATCGGTAGGGGATGAAGGGTTGAAAAACTCAGAAAACTCAATAAAAATAGGGTTTTTATTTTTTTTCTCGAGATTTTGGATGGGGTACCACTACCCTCTTTTGGCAGCGACTTACGAAAGTGTTCTAGAATACTCCCTCGAATTGGTTTTTAAATCGGTAGGGGATGAGGGGTTGAAAAACTCAGAAAACTCAATAAAAATAGGGTTTTTATTTTTTTTTCTCGAGATTTTGGATGGGGTACCACTACCATCTTTTGGCAGCGACTTACGAAAGTGTTTTAGAATACTCCCTCAAATTGGTTTTTAAATCGGTAGGGGATGAAGGGTTGAAAAACTCAGAAAACTCAATAAAAATAGGGTTTTTATTTTTTTTCTCGAGATTTTGGATGGGGTACCACTACCATCTTTTGGCAGCGACTTACGAAAGTGTTCTAGAATACTCCCTCGAATTGGTTTTTAAATCGGTAGGGGATGAGGGGTTGAAAAACTCAGAAAACTCAATAAAAATAGGGTTTTTATTTTTTTTCTCGAGATTTTGGATGGGGTACCACTACCATCTTTTGGCAGCGACTTACGAAAGTGTTCTAGAATACTCCCTCAAATTGGTTTTTAAATCGGTAGGGGATGAGGGGTTGGAAAAATCAGAAAACTCAATAAAAATAGGGTTTTTATTTTTTTTCTCGAGATTTTGGATAAGGTACCACTACCATCTTTTGGCAACGACTTACGAAAGCGTTCTAGAATGTCCCCTGAAATTGGTTTTTAGATCGGTAGGGGATGAGGGGTCGAAAAAATCAGAAAACTCAATAAAAATTGGGTTTTTATTTTTTTTCTCGAGATTTTGGATGAGGTACCACTACCATCTTCTGGCAGCGACTTACGGAAGTGTTCTAGAATACTCCCTCAAATTGGTTTTTAAATCGGTAGGGGATGAGAGGGGTTGAAAAAATCAGAAAACTTAATAAAAATAGGGCTTTTATTTTTTTCCCGAGATTTTGGATGGGGTACCACTACCATCTTCTGGCAGCGACTTACGGAAGTGTTCTAGAATACTCCTTCAAATTGGTTTTTAAATCGGTAGGGATATTTTTATTAAGTTTTCTGATTTTTTCAACCTCTCATCCCCTAGCGATTTAAAAACCAATTTGAGGGAGTATTCTAGAAAACTTCCG